AACAATTCCTTCCCCTTGGGGCTGTCAGGGGCTGGAAGGGGCTGCCCAGGGAAGGGGTCGAGTCCCCACCCCTGGGGGGATTTAAAAGAAGGGTAGATGCTGCTCAGGGCCAGGGTTTGGGGGTGGGATGGCAGGGTTAGCAGAACAGTTGGGCTGGGGGAACTTAAAGGTCTTTTCCAACCTAGGCGACTTTATGATTCCTGTTCCCATGGGAACAGAGTGGCTCCCATGACTGCCTGGTTTGAAGGTGACCAGCAGCTCTCCCCACTGCTCCTCTGCCACCACCCCAAGATCACTCCAGGACTTCACTAGGTTATGGGCAGCATTATAACCCTTTTGAAAAGGTGCCTGGCCACCACATACAAGGTTCCATGAAATGGGCTGGGTGCACGCCCTTTCTCACACCTAAGAGTGCAGGGCTCTGTAGAACAGTGTTGAGTTGGAGTCAGCTTCTCTCAGCGACGCTGGCATGTGGCCTCACAACTGATCCCACACAGGCAGGCATAGCAGCAGCAAGGACGCACTCAGCTTTCACCACTGCAGCCTTTGTGGAAATGATGAGCTCTAATTAACTTAGGAGCAGACAAACACACTCTTTGAACAAAGCAAAATGCAAGGTCTGTGCTGTGCCAAGAAGGGGCCATGCAAGTCATGTACGTGCATTAGCTTTGCACAATGTCCAGGTGGTGAAAAAGCCAGCGAGCTCCTGCTCGTGCCCTCAGCAAGCTGCTGGGTCAGGGCGGCTGGGGGGCTGCTACCCCCTGTGTCACAATAAGCACTCGAGTTAGGGGGTTGTGCAGGCACAGCAGCACCCTGCGCTGCTTCCAGTGTGCTCTATAACCTACCCACTGTAAAACAAGAACATAAAACATTTTATGATTAGAGAATGCTGCTGAAAATTAATTAATGAATGCCCACTGAATTCTCTCCACACAAGGAGAGAATACAATTTCTGACTCTGTGTCTGAAAGTCTTTTAACTGCACTGATCAGCCCGGATCTCAAGTATATTTGACATAAAATTGAAAGATTTATTGGAAAAGCAAACTTTATTTTTTGCTTTCCTTGTGAAGATGGAGTCAGTGTGAACACATGGATTCTTTTGTAGTGATTGACAGTGTAAATGCTAACATTTTGTACTTCCAGTTCAACCTGTTGAAAGTTTATGGATACTTGATCACGTGACCTCTTCCAGGTCTTACACCATCTATTGAAATTAACCCCTTGCTCATATTCTGCTGTGTGAAGTGAGTCAAACTACAGGGATTTTGTGAACACTTTTCTGAACGTCTGTGCAACAGCGTGCGGATCCTCCACACCCTGAAGTGCAAAAAGCACAGAATGAAAATGATGTTAAAGCTATCGAAAGGCCCCAGAGCTCACGGGTTTTTGTTTGGGTATTTCTGGGTCTGGCTGATGGGATTCAGAAGTGCCTGAAGACAAAGATGTTCTCCTAAACCCCAGAGTTCAGGCCACTGCAGGCAGCCCCAGGCATTACAGGTTCCCCATCCTACTTTTGAGATTCTCAGCACTGGCTTAGAAGTACGTGCAAGTTCAGCCCATCCCAGCTTCTGTGTCCCAATGACCGCCGCTGTGAACAGCCC